AATTCTCTGTGGCACTTGCTTTGTTTTTTTCGCTTTTTAACCAAATGACCTTCTGGAAAGGGGCTCTGCAGCATCTGGAACAATAGCTGTCAAACAATACAACTGCAGACTTGGACTGATTAAAAAAAGTTTTGCTCTAATCAATATCTTAATGTTGACAATGGCCAACTATGTAAAAGAGGTCACTTGCAGTGAAGAAGATAAAGAAAATTATCATCCGACTTAGTTCTACAAAACATTGTAGCATCCATCAGCTCATTGTTTTGGTTTTCGGCCTGCAGATTTATTGTTTTGGTTCACCCATCTGTTTTCAACCTCAGCAGATTGTTGACTGAACCTTTAACTAGATGAATAACCTTCATGTAACTACCTGCCCAGCACTAAACAGCCAATAGAAAAAGTTAGCAACTAACTGGTGAACATTGTAGAATATTGAATTTCCATTTGTTTGGTAGTGAAAAACACAAATCAATGCTTATGTCTCTCTGTGTCTGGTGCATGTACAAGGATGACCAAACTCAGCATATAAACTTGAGGTGGTAATGTATGGTATCAGTTGTGTTCACAGCTTGTTTCCACTGCCTGAAAGTGGCTAAAAGTTAGTCCTGAAAGTTAGTCACTCAGTAAACCATCAAATCCACAGTTCTATATATTGATAATCCATGAGATGGTCATGTATTTTTCACTGTAATAATCCATCAGTTCTGCAGTTACAAATGGTAATAAAGTCACAGAGAAAGGGTCAAAGGTTATTCATTTGCTAAGCTGTTAATAATTCCCATCCTAGAAGGTAAATGGTTAATCTATTCATTAGTGGAGTCTTTTTTTTTTTTTTTATTGAAACAAAGTAACACATTAACAAAACAAGTCCGGACATGGAGACAAGACAACGGATATATGACATTACAAAAAGATGTAGAGTGTTTTACAAGAGCGTGGTGTGTGAGGCTGTGAAGTGTGTGTATTTCTAACTTATGCAGTCTATGAAGAGCTATAAAGGGAGAAGGAAAGAAAAAAATTACAATGATAAGAGCACTACCAATAAAAGCAGCTTGTTACATTTTTAGAGGTTGGTGGGAATGTGCGTGGCCTCACCCCCAGTTTGGGTCAAGTTAAAATGTGTTAAAAATGGGTTTCATGTGTCATAAAAAGCTGATAAACTATTCTTGTGAGTAGATGCCATTTTCTCTAATGTGATGTATTCTATCAGAAGGTTGGTCTAGTGTTTTATATGTAGTGATTTTTTTTGATTTCCAGTTTTGAAAGATTGTTTTCTTGGCAATAGCTAGAGAAATGAGGACTGGGTTTTTGTATTTAATTGGTAGGTGGTCAACGTCTGTGATATTACCAAGTAAGCAAAGTGATGAAGAAAGAGGGATTCTACAGCCCAAGATGCATGGAGCAAATTTGACAGCAAACACCAGGCAGTGACTTGAGTAAAAGTTGTTGAATTTATTCAATGCCGTTGTTTGATCTAATTCACCACTTTGACAACACTTTTCAGAGTTTTATGTACGACTGGCACCATATTTTTAGCTGCTAATGTTAAAGCCACTCACTCATTGGAGGGTGAGCGAGCGAAGAAAAACAGACCCAGATGACTGCCTTCAGTGCAAGCAAGTTTATTGTGCTGTACAATATATATAAGTGACATGGTAGGCAGATAACTAGGAAAAGTAGAACCGGGTGCTAATCAGCTAGCTATATTAACAGTGGAAGGATGGGTATGGTGAAATAGGCTGAGCTACGGACGCTAGGGTCACTCGGTCTGGCCAGTGGGTGGTAGATGGAGTCTGATGACTGTGTACCGACCTGGCTGGTGGAGGCTGGAAGAGTGGTGTGGAGTAATGGTCCAGAGAAAACAGTCCGAGGAGAATGTTCGAGTAAAGAAAAGGAAAAAGGCAGGGTAGACAGACTGAAAGAAAACAAAAACCGATGGTAACAATAACACCACAAAGATGAGGAGAATGGCACTGGTTGTCAGCCTGAAAGCAGCAACAAACTGGCAAGGCAGTGAAAAGTATAAATGTATAAATAAGGTGAAGGACTGAGTAAATGCAGCTGGTGTTCATTAAGAAAACAAGTGGCAGGTGTGCAAGGTGACATGATCAGGAACCGAGAAACAAAGAGAGGGAGGTGAGAGAGGCAGGTTCCCCCGAGCAAACCTGACATTGAGTTTTGGTATTGTTATTGTTGAATCTGTATTTGATATGAGTTTATATAGCTTGGATATTATTTTCTTGGAATCTTTAATTTTCATAATCTCTTTAATTAATTTGGAGGGTTGTAGTGGGTTATTGATTACACTAATCTTTGACTATGGATTTTAGCTGATTGTACTGAAGGAACTGTTCTCTCTGAACTCAGTACTTCTGCATCAGTGTATTAAATGATATGAACAGGTTATTTTCAAATAGGTGATGTAAGTGAGTGATTCCTTTGTGCTGCCATGTTGGGAAATAGATAGGGTTATTATGCAGTTGAAAATCAGGGTTGTGCCAAATTGGAGTGTATCTACGTGGTGCAAGTGATGATTAAGTGATTCTGTTTGCTTTCCACCAGACTGTCAGAGTTGAGAGGATTGTGATGTTCTTACAGTAATTGATTTCCTTAATAGAATTGGGTAGGAAGGGAAGGTCTGAAACTGAGTCATTTTAGTGTGGGCTTCAATCTTTAATGTGAGGGAAACGGGCGTGTGATCACTAATTATAATGGAGTGGATGGTAGTGTCTATTACATGTTTGGTAAGGGAATTACTGATAAGAAAGAGGTCTATTTAACCTCTAGAGTCCTGAGCTTTGGAAAACCCAAGCTGTGCGGTCCTCATATGAGGACGCAGGGACTCTAGAGGTTATGAAAAAGACTGATGAAGGGAGGAAAAGTAGGTATATTCTCTAGATGAAGGGTTAATCATTCTCCAACCATCACCAAGTTCATAATGCTCCATATATTGTTTTATTGTTTTAGTGGAGGGCCAACTTCTTGTATTGCTGGAGATACTTGAACAGTCAATTTCCGGGTCAATAACAGTGTTGAAGTCACCAGCAATGATAATATTTGACGAGTCGCAGAGATGAGAAAAAATTATGGAAAAAGGATGAATCATCGTGATTGGAGCCGTATATGTTCGCACGTGTATATGTTGTCTGGTTAATGGATACCTTACTAATTATAAATCTGCTTTCTGGGTCAGTGATAGATGTATTGTGAATTAATGGGATATTTTTATTAATTAAAATTGAGACGCCTCTTTGCCTACTGTTATATGTTGATGAAAATGTTTGGTTAAATTGTTTACATTTAAGGTTTTGTGATTCCGGGCTTGTTAGATGGGTTTCTTGTAGAAAGCATATATCAACATTTAATTTTATCAAATGGTTAATGATTTTAATCCTCTTAACCTGGGTCCTGAATCCATGCACATTCCATGACACTATTTTAAGTGACTGAGTGATTGTTTGTTATAGATAAATAAATGTTCTATGATGAAAAGAGGGAAGGTAGGGGAAGGAAAGAGGAAGGAGAAAAACTAACTAAAAAAAAAGAAACAAAACATAAAATAGGATTAAAAAGATCTAGAGTTGATGCGTGTGTGTATATACAGTCTTATGCAAAAGTTTAGGCACCCCTTGATAAATAACAGATTTTGGTGATTTTTTATTTGAACAGATGTTAACACAGTTTCTCTTGGAAATGGAAAAAATGCACAATATTTTCAGCAAACAGTGATGCATAGTTACTTCTTATGCCATAAATTGAACAAAAATAAAAAATAAAAACATTATTATGGCATGGTGCAAAAGTTTGGGCACCCTAAGAGTTCCAGAGTCTCAAAGTCTCTCACAAGGTTTCAGACCTTAATCAGCTCGGTAGATCTGATGCACAGCAACAGCTGTCATTGGTAAATGCCAATTTCAAAGCTGTACAAATACCTTGACTCTTCAAACCTTGTGCACACACTTGTGGACACCCAGCAACCATGGGTTCCTCTAAGCAGCTGTGTAAGACCCTGAAAATGAAAGTTATTGATGCCCACAATGCAGGAGAAGGCTACAAGAAGATAGCAAAGCGTTGTCAGCTTGCAGTTTCCACAGTAAGAAATGTAATTAAGAGATGGCAGATCAGGGGAACTGTGGAGGTCAAGATGAGATCTGGAAGACCAAGAAAACTCTCGGACAGAACTGCTCGTATGCTGGTCAGAAAGACAAATCAAAACCCCCATTTGACTGCAAAAAACCTGCAGGAAGATTTAGCAGACTCAGGAGTGGTGGTGCACCGTTCCACTGTGCAGCGATGCTTGCACAGACAAGGCCTTCATGGAAGAGTCAGCAGAAGAAAACCTTATCTGCGTCCCCATCATAAAATCCAACATCTGAAGTATGCAACAGGACATCTACAGAAGCCCGATGCGTTTTGGAAACAAGTGCTGTGGACTGATGAAGTTAAAATAGAACTCTTTGGACACAATCAGCAAAGGCATGTTTGGAGAAAAAAAGGAGCAGCATTTCATGAAAAGAACACCTTGCCAACTATTAAGCATGGGGGTGGATCTATCATGCTCTGGGGTTGTGTTGCAGCCAGTGGCACAGGAAACATTGCACGGGTGGAGGGAAGAATGGATTCCACTAAATACCAGCAAATTCTGGAAGCAAACATCACACCATCTGTAAAAAAGCTGAAGCTGAAAAGAGGATGGCTTCTACAACAGGACAATGATCCTAAACATACCTCGAAATCCACTATGGAATACCTCAAGAGACGCAGGCTGAAGGTTTTGGAATGGCCATCACAGTCCCCTGATTTAAACATCATTGAAAATTTGTGGGTAGATCTTAAAAGAGCTGTGCATGCAAGACGACCAAAGAATATTACAGAACTAGAAGCCTTTTGCAAGGAAGAATGGGAGAAGATCCCAAGTACAAGAATTGAAAGACTTTTAGCTGGCTATGAAAAGCGTTTGCAAGCTGTGATATCTGCCAGAGGAGGTGTTACTAAGTACTGATTGTGTAGGGTGCCCAAACTTTTGCACCATGCCATAATAATGTTTTTATTTTTTATTTTTGTTCAATTTATGGCATAAGAAGTAACTATGCATCACTGTTTGCAGAAAATATTGTGCATTTTTTCCATTTCCAAGAGAAACTGTGTTAACATCTGTTCAAATAAAAAATCACCAAAATCTGTTATGTATCAAGGGGTGCCTAAACTTTTGCATAAGACTGTAAACACCAAACGGCAGACAGGCAGTGGACCTTATTCACTAACATGCGCATAGAAATGTTCTTACCTTGTGCACAAAATAAGTGCAGGAGACATTACCATCATATTCATGACACCAGCCAATTTTGTTCTTTCTATTGTGTGTATGTTAGTGTAAATCAGAATCATTCTAAAATGACAGGCGCATTCCAGTGGTTTTCAAGTAGCCTGCTGCCATGCCCCCATTTCTCTATATACTTATAAACTAGAACAGTTTTTTAAATTTAATTTATTTCAATTAAAACTGTGATTAATCAGAATGACAGGGCATTAATTTCATGTTTATTTAATATGCTACATTTGGTCAATGCATTAGTAAATTAATCATTATAGCCTTAAATTATATTAATCAATTATATTAGCTATTAAAACCTTTTTAATTAATATAGTTTCAGTTAAAATGTGTTTGCATTTTTTAGCCAGCCAGGCCTTCATCATTTGTTCATACACATGGGGTGAGGCAGTATTAAATTTGTTCACAGAGTATGAACAAATTAAGGTAAGAAAATATTGATACAGAATATTGAATAAAATTGTGCATAAATTGTTTGTATACACGGTTTCAGCACAGAATTGTGTGTACACACTGTTTGTGGACGAGGCTTGGTGCTAGCAGCTAACTGGTGAACATACTCAAGCAGTTCGTAGATTAAGAATCAGATATTTTGGAGTTGGTGGAGACCAAAAACAGAGCTAAAAGAAAGTACTGTATATATTGGACCTGATGACCAGACACGTGACTCCAAATGGCAATAATGCTCTGTAACTGCTGGGTGTGTAAATAAGCAACTGCTTGCTGACAGGTTCACAAATTCAACTTAAAAGGTGAAGATATGTCAATATTGAGTCCCCAGGCAGTGAAAAAGGCCATTATTGCAGATTTAAAGCTACTGTCAATATGGGGTGCTGTGTGTACATTAATGAGGAAAAAAATGAACTTAAATGATTTCAGCATATGGCTGCAATATAACAAAGAGTGAAAAATTTAAGGGGGTCTCAATACTTTCCGTACCCACTGTATGTGTGTTAGAGCGTGGATGTGGGCATAACAGTACAGAAAAACATAGACAAGTATACATTTCCACATGGTGTGATAAACCAAAAACACAGACAGAATAACAGAGTAAAAAGAGGGCAGGCTTGCACCAATGATCTTTTCTGCAGTCCTGGCTGTCCGCTGAAGTCTGTACTTGTCCTGTTTGCTGAGCCAAACCAGACAGTGATGGAGGTGCAGAGAACAGACTCGATGATTCCTCTGTAGAACTGTATCAGCAGCTCCTGAGGAATTGATCATTGAGTCCAAAGTTTGTGCCTTTCAGTTCCTTTCCTTTACTTTTAATCAGCTCTTTGTGTTTGTAGTGTTCCAGTTTCGCTATTATTGGCCGGGGTGTTTTGTTGGAACATGGACCAAGGCGGTGTATGCTGTGAAAGGTGATCTTATTAACAGCATCCGGTGGAATTTTGAGTTGGTTTTTCATGAAGTCCCTTACCAGTGCTTCGGGATTATCGGGTGATTGTTCTGGAATGCCGGAAAAGATCAGGTTGTCGCATATGCTTCTGGTCTGAATGCCCGGTATCGTTTCTCTCATTATTTTGTTTTCTTTCGTGACGAGGTCCATTTTTTTCGCTGAGGGTTTTGATGGATGGTTGGAGAGAGATATTCGACTGTTCTGACTTTTCAATGATCAAGGCTTGATCGGAGTTCTTTTATTTCATCATGAAGTGTGACCAGTAAATCGAGATTTTTATTGTTGGATGTAAGGACACTGACCTCAATGTCTGTAGTCTGCAGATCGCTTGTATCCGTAGAGGAGGTCTTTTTCTGTTTGTTTGGCTTCGGGGTGTCTTGCTGGCTTGTATTGGCGGTATCCATGCTGCAGTGAATGTAGTATTGGTCGATGAAAGATTCTAGGTCCGATAAATCCTCCAGAATGTGAAAGCTCCGTTCAGGTTATTGGCTACAGCTTGCGATTCCAATGGATTTCTCATGTAATTCCAGTAGTGGGCCATTCATTAGTGGAGTCTTCTTGACAAATTAAAGTGCTTACTAACAAAACAAACAAAGCAAGTACCATACTGATGAAGTACAAATGTCAGCCCAAGGGATTTTTCATAACCTGGTGTAATGGAAAAATAAATAGTCTCTACTGCCACACACACACACAGCCTGTTGCATACAAAGCCCACCTGTATGGGCCAGCTACCTAATTTACTGCCACACAATATTGAACGACACATACCTAAGACACATTTCTGATTGGTTCCAGCTAGTGGTGTGATAACTGACCAGTATTATACAAAACCTTACTGTTCCTTCTTTTCTTTTGTCACTCACTGACTCTTTGTACTAATTGTGTGACCTCTTGATCAAGATACAGATTATAGTGCTTATGCTACTGTCTGATTTACTTAAGACACACAAAAGATAACTTGAAAGGCTCTTCACACCTGGCAACCCAAAAGTTAGACTTACAATGGCTCTATAAAGATAGGAAAATGATTTAACACTAGAAAGTGGTGCCCAAGTACTGTAATCAACCAACAAACATGAATACATCTGAATTTACAGCTGATCTGTACTCAAGAGTCACATTTGGCATAAACTTATGCTGTCACCCTACAGTGTCATGGGGCTCCTGGTATGACCATGTGAAAGGTTACTGGAAGGAGAGAGAGAAGAGGAATATTCTCTATCTTTTCTATGAGGATCTGAAAGAGGTGAGACAGACATCTGACCCTTTTCAAGTCAAGTCAAGATTTTTATTTGCCATTTATGCATAAACAGACAGTCTAGGCATATAGGAATTCTTGTGCAGCTCTCCTTTGGAGTCAAAAGCCAGAAAGAACACTTGGTCTTAAAATAAAAAAGTTACATAAAGGCAACAAAGCATTAAAACCACAATACACAAAAATGAGGTAATAGTATTTTCCCCAGTGAACTTCAAACATCGCACTTAGTAATTCACATGGTGGAGTTGGATATGTCATTACGCTTGGTGAGGTAGTGAGGGGGTTATTCCACATGTCTAGTGAGGGGTTATTGCAGATATATTCTCACATTTCTCACAGTTTCGTATTTGCCATCAGTCTTACTGCGGCAGGGAAAAAGCTTGTGCTGCCTTTCATTGAAATGCAGTTTTAGCTTTTCACATTATGATAGTTTATAGGGATGTGAGTAAGCTGCCACCTAGTGGTCTTTCATAGGTCTGTTCTTTGTTGAAGTTCACTTCCGTTTTTGCCATTGAGCTCATGTTAGCTTGTTGTAGAACGGACATCGTCTTCTCATTTGAGTTTTGGACATTATTTGCCTGTAAGTAAATACAGTATTATTGATTTAAAGTGGTCTTCTTCACTGTGGCAACCAGCTCAGGTCAGATGTCACCTGCAGGCCCAGGAACTTGTGGCTGTCAGCCCTCTCCACCTCAGTCCCTTTGATGGTCAGATGCAGCAGAGGGGAGGGGTTCTTCCTGAAGTCTTCTATTATTTCTTTTATGTTGTTTACGTTGAGGATGAGGTCATTCTCTCCATAAACAAGAATGGCGTTCACCAAGCTTCTGTAACCCAACTCGTCTCCCCCTTGATGAGGCCCAGAATGGTGGTGGTGTCAGCATATTTAATAATGATGGTGTTGTCACGGTTGGAGACACAGTCATGGGTGTACAGGGTGAAGACTTTGGGGCTGAGATAGCAGCCTTGCAGTGAGCCTGTGCTGATTGTGAGCTCAGCAGACACCCGCCCTCCCATTCTGATCACCTGTGGTCTTTCAGTCAGGAAGTCCAGAACCCAGCTACAGGTGGGGGTTGGGACACTGAGGTCTGTCATCTTCCCATCAGCCTACCTGGGCGAATGGTGCTGAATGCAGAACTGTAAACCAGGAAGAGCATCCTAGCTGTCATGATTCTGTCCTGCTGGCTTCCGGTTTCCTCATCACTCTCATTGATTTCACCTGCATCTCAGTTACCTACACCTGCTGACAGCAGTATATAGCAGCTTCCCACCCCATTTCAGTCTGACTCTGTTTCTCCCACACCTGAGCTCCCCAAAGCGGATAATAAACTCTATTCTACTGCCTCAGACTACTGGCTCTTTAATTGGATCCACACCTCCTCATTCACGGGAGGTTCACCACCCTGTGACACCTAGCATCTCTACTGCTGTTGTCCGGGTGCTTCAGGGTATGGAATACACTTAGAGACAACGTGTCATCCACTGATCTGTTGAGGTGGTAGGCAAACTGGAGGGGGTCTACAGTGTCCGGGACCATGTGGTTAATGTGTGTGAGGACCAGTTTCTCTAAGAACTTCATGGCGACTGATGTGAGCGCCACTGGCCTGACCAGTGGACCCTTTTACAATGGAGCCAGTATTTCCAAACCATGTGGAACATACTTCTAAACTGATACAAGTAAAATTTAGATAAAATCAATGTAGTTAATTCCTTCACAATGATATTCTATGGTCTCCCCCGCACACTCTTATAAGATGCTTCACAATTTTATAACTTTTTAAAAAACTTTTCTCCTATAAACCTTTTATTTAAGACATTAATTGAAGTTATTTATTAAACTTAGTATTTGTGTCACTCATGTCTGATGTCTTTAAATTGTTGTATAAAAAAAGATGGGCATGTTACAATCATTTATTCCCCCAGAATCCTCGGCGTGAAGTGGAGCGCATCATGAGGTACCTGGACTTGTCGGTCTCTGATGAGGTCATCAGCAAAATTGTGGAGCTCACGTCCTTTAAGAACATGAAGGAGAACCCAATGGCCAACTACTCCTGCATCCCAAAATGTGTTTTTGATCCTTCCATCTCTGACTTCATGAGAAAAGGTGACTCAGTCTGCCAAGTCTCACCTAGAAGCAAGCTTATAAATCAAAACAATAAAAAATGTGCAGGGTAGAGCATGTGGGTATCATGTCTTGAGTGAGGACAGCTGACATAATACCATGAATATCTTATAAACTCAGCAGTATAAGCCTCACAAACAAGACTCACAACTGTTATTGCAATAAGCCCTCCCTTGTACAGCTCAATGGCGCCCCTAGAGGTTCATGTATTTTTTTTTGCCTTTACCTGTTTTTATTTAGAATAAACTATGTTATGTTATGTTATGTTATGCTGAGTATAGCTAAAACAATTAATCAATTCACTAAAATATCAGCATAAAGTTGATCTGCAACTATTTTGATAACTGCTTAATCTTTTAAATAATTTTCCAAGCAAAAAAAAAAAAAAGCCCAAAAATCTTCTGGTTGCAGCTTCTGAAGATTTGCCCTCTTTGACCCTCAGGGATATTAATTTGACTTTAAGCTTTGGACTGTTTTCCTTTGACAACAACCAATTTGGAGATGTCAGCATGTGGTTTTGGAAATAGTGATGGACATTTTTCACTGTCTTTTTTTTGTGAAAGCAAATAATCAATCATTTTATTAAGAATATAATCACAAGTTTCAGCCTTAATGTTCAACAGCTGATGCTTTTAGGAAAAATAATATAAAAACTTCTAGTTATTTTCTAATTACAGCTGATTTATAAAACTAACACAATTGTATTCTCTTGTGCATTTCTTCCATGTACAGGTGAAGTAGGTGACTGGACAAACCATTTCACTCCTGAGCAGTCAACGATGTTTGATGAGGATTATGAAAAGCAAATGAAAGATGCCAACATATCATTCAGGACCCTCATCTAATGGGTTTTCCAGATTGATGCAGCTGTACAAATCAAAAATCAACTGACATTTTGTAGCACTCAGAAATTTTGGCATGAGCTAAAACGCAGACAATTGTTTGACTCGCCTTACTACACCTTATGATGTTTCTGTATAAAGGAAATCATTCAAATGTATGTGTGAACGATCAGTAAAAATGTACTCCACAATACAAGTACATGAGTCTGTAATCATCACTTTATTGCAGCTTGTCACATAAACAATATATAAGACCAGAAGTGTTGTGACTGAGTGAGCATGTCATGAGAACTCCCACGGAGCCCGCTGACTGCATGGAGCCTATAGAGAGCGCTGGCAGCTGGATGCAAGTGGTTGTTCTGCCCATATGACGTTGGGTTGCTACCCTACACCACACTGTACAGAGCCCAGCTAAATCAGGGAGGCTGCATGAGACACGAGCAACAAAAACTAGAATCAAAGTAACAAGCTGGAATATGAAAATGAACAGAGGACACAAAAACTCAACAGCTGACAATATCCAAGTTTAACAAAAAATTACTTTTAATACATACTTTATTTCTTAGAATAAAATCTTAAATATTTTATCAGCAGGGATACTTCCCTTCATTTTAATTCACTCTCCTTCCTTATATAGAGGCTATTTTTGTATATTTTTTGATGTTTTATTTTTTTGTATGTTTTTCTATGTTTTCTCCTCTCTCTTCTATTGGTTGGCTCGCTATGGCTTCCCTCTTTGGTTGTGATCTTCCTCTCTCGCTTCTCTGCCTTTGAATCTCCAAATGTCAAGATCCTCTTCTTTTACATCTCTATTTAATCTCTGTACCTGCTGAAGAGAAAATAAATAAATCAGAGCGGGGAAGGATGTCTGGACACATAAGTTGGTCGGCAGCAGAAACAGACACAGCAACACTTTGGACAACGTAAATCGAGCAACACTTAAACAGTCTTTGCAGACAAACATGACTGATTCTAAATCAGAGTGTTACAAAATTCCCACCACCAAGGTGTCATCTCTACGATAACCTCTCCCTTAAGAATAATTGGTTTTGACATAAAGTACTAAAAGCAGCAAGCAAACTAAGGCATTGGTGGGACACCGAGATTAAGTCATTTTGCTTTATCTACAGGTCCCAAACCCATGATTCAACTGAGAAACAAAATAAAACTGCCATGTTTTCATGAGAGGTACATTTAAAAAGTACTGTTTCTGAACATTTCAAAGATGAAGTAAAGAGCAGGTTGTCATTCCACTGTTAAAGATCATTATATGGGACAAATTGTACCTACCTGGCCCCTAAATAAGAGCAAAGTGTAAAATAAGACAAATTGCTTGAAAATGTAGCTTGATGCAGGCCTGAATTATAATCACAGAAAACATCACTAAAACAAAAAGTGTCTTTTCATTAACTAGTTAACTGAGGGTCTTACATGGACCTGAACAGCCTGGCAATTCCAATCAAAATTTTGATAAAAACAGATGTGATGCTTTACTTTAACTCCACCATTTATAATTTATAAGCAGTTTCTAAACATACAATAAGCTATTTATAACCCATTATAAGCCAGATGGCCAGTATTAAGTTATATTATATACCGGTAACTGTTTTGTTTACAGCTCCTTCTATAAACACAACAAGCCGATATCAGCTTGATGTTATAATGTCTCACATTCCTTAGAAATGCTTAAAGGGACGGTTTTGGTAATGGGCCTTATAACAAGCCTCTTTACAAAACTGGCACCAGCACAGTCATTGGTTACATGAAGACAGAAACAAACATGGTGTAACGTTGACGCTGACAGCAGCAACTCAACGGTAATTAACTTGCACAGAGGCATCTTATGAGCCTGTACGACACCAGAAATTACAATGAACAGAGCACCCAAAGGAGGACAGCAGATACAAATAGCAGCAAACAGGGATCTCCCCATACAGACAATATCTGTGTATGACAGATCAAATTTATAATTCATTTTCCAGTTATGTCCTTAAGTAGTAAGGAGACCCCAGCGATCCACATCGTCATGACACCATGAAGACAGATCACATATGCGACGCAACAAAAAATATACAAATGTACAAATGGACATGGATATATGGTGAGCTGAGGAATACCTTGCTTTAGTTACAGGGCTAATGGTGATGGGTTGACTGAATTTAAGCTGGAAATCAACAAAAGGGGTAAATGAGTTAATGATGAATGGAGAAAGGAGACAGTGATGAGAGAGATCAGGCAGAGTCTTGTTATCACAGTTATGACAGATGGGTAATAGATAAGAAGATTGTGTAAAAACAAAACAAAAAAATGACAGACCAGAAGGACAGACTGAATTTTGTTTAAAAAAAAAAATTTTTTTTTAAATGACAGTATTAATAGCAATCATTGAGTAGAAGTAAAATAATTATCAGCTATTTTAAGGAGAAATATATCTTAGTTTAATAAAAGTGTTAGGGTGAATGTATAAAAATACAAGGCTACTTACTTTCAACATAGTTGCGAGCGACAAATTTCAGCACTTCATCAATGCCGATGACAGGGAGGGAAAGCTTCAGGACCATCAACCATTGTTCAACGGACAGATGGGTCAACTTGAAGATCAGCTGGAGGACAAAAGAGTGAGAGTCAGAACTGGTGGGAAACCACAGTGGAAAGCAACAAACACTACACATCGCACAGGACGGTGCTTCAGTGTAATTCCTAAACTTGGGAGATTTACACACACAGACCTTTATCTGTGGTGTGTTTGAATATCAGACTTACAGGCAGAGGATCAACATAGATGATCATGAAGTGCAGGGACATGGAGAGAGTCATGGCAGCAATCAGCCAGAAGTTGCTCCATGGGGGCATGCGCAGCAAAGACTGGTTCTCAGACAAGCTTGGGAAGGAAAAGAAGACGAATCATGAGATTAAATGTGTGTTTTGCTGAAGAAGCCACTGGAGTCATCATCAAGTGTATGATCACAAGCAGAGATCAAAGTCTGGTGTGTTGTCATTTCAGAATTTATGAACAGGAACTCATTCATTCTAACAAAGAAGCTGTAAGACCCATTTCCAACCCATTTGAAGTTTTACCTGTTGAGAGCATTGCACATCTCTATGGTGACCAAAACAGACAGGGCCATGGTCATGGGAGGAGAAGCCTCGAAGATCTCACAATCGATGCCGGCAAAGTCCTCGTTCTCATCGTGGCACTGCATGAAGTGTGACTGTACAGAGGAGATGTCAGATTATTACATTTCTGCATCAGTGTTTTTAGAAGACAACACTGAACAGACACAATCACTTACCAGCTGATAGTAGGTGACCCCAGGGCCAGTAGTATCGTAAATAAACCACCAGGCAGCACCAGCAACAGTGGCAGCACCAACGTATCCTGTTAGGCAAAGATAACGGTCAGTGTGAGCAAGTGTTTTTCCTGTATTTAAACAAATTCCAAACACAATGACTATGGGATTACTTACCACCGATAGTCATGTATCTGAAGAACAGCCAACCAGAGATCAGGGGCTCCTTGGGAGAACGTGGGGGCTTGCCCATGATGTCCAGATCAGGGGGGTTGAAGCCCAGAGCAGTGGCAGGCAAACCATCAGTCACCAGGTTGACCCACAGCAGCTGGACGGGGATCAGAGCCTCGGGCAGACCCAGAGCAGCCGTCAGGAAGATACTGAGAGAGTGAAAAAGGACATAATATAACAAAACAAAAGCCAAGGTTAGCCAGAGGCAGAGAAAAGAGGGCTGAAACACGATGTCTAGGATCAGAGTGGGTGCTACACAAGCCGCTCACCAGACGACCTCACCGACATTGGAGGAGATGAGGTAGCGGATGAACTGCTTCATGTTGTTGTAAATAGCTCTGCCCTCCTCAACAGCAGCCACAATGGAAGAGAAGTTGTCGTCAGCCAGGACCATCTCAGAGGCACTCTTGGCAACAGCAGTGCCAGAGCCCATGGCGATGCCGATCTCAGCCTTCTTCAGGGCGGGGGCATCGTTCACACCATCACCAGTCTGAGGTGGGAGATGAGGAGGCATAAGTTACACTACTACTGATATACTACTACTACTACCACCACATGCTGTAAATCCTGGCGCAAGACCAGTAACAGGACAGTTGAACACTACAAAAAGACAAGTACTATGCCTGAGCCAAGTTCAAGCTGATGAGCTCTTACCATAGCAGTAATGTCATCATAACCCTGCAGGTACTCCACAATCTTGGACTTGTGGGCTGGCTCCACACGGGCAAAGCAGCATGCCCTGCGCACGGCCTCGGCCTGTTCTTGGAGGGGCAGATCGTCAAACTCACGTCCGGTGTAGGCCTTGCCAGAAACGTCCTCATCCTCACCAAAGATACCAATGCGACGGCAGATAGCAATAGCAGTTCCTTTGTTGTCACCTGAAGAAGTCGAAGTTTGGTAGAGAGTTTGGCGACATAACAGTTTCTGAGCTGTGAAACAAAAGGACTGCACCAAGGGGGAATGGATATATCTAAAATCACAGGGGCAGTATTCTATCCACAACAAGAACGAGTTTAAAACACAAGCAATTCTGTGATGTAAGATATACTAACATCATCAATACTCTGTCATTTCTGTGTAACTGATGAGAAAACATTCCCATAAAATGGGAAATGGCCTTTTTAAAAAGCAGGGCTCAAATACACAGTCTTTACTCTCAGCATAATTACTTATCACTTAAGTCCAAATCTTTACAGGGTTACACACTTGTTTACATTTAGATAACAGATTTTTCCTTTAAAAAAAAACTAATGAAAAACAATTATTGCCAAAAAATAGCAAAATACTATGTAATTACTCTGTACAACACACCATCCATTTGAATAAAACTGCACTGATAAGCTCTACAACAGAACACATCACAACACACTTCTAGATAATCCTAACCAGTGATCATGATGACACGGATTCCAGCCTCTCTGCACAGCTCAATGGAGCCAGTGACCTCCTTGCGAGGGGGATCCAGCATACCCACGCAGCCAACAAAGGTCAGGTCAACCTGACAGCAGAGATATTTACATGTAGTCACTGTTGTATTCATACAGCCTCAACATGAAGTCCATCAAGCTCTTTAGTTCTCACCTCATAATCAACAAACTTGGTTGAGTCCTCGAGGTTCATGTCCTCCACCCTGGGTGGGCTGTCACGGGTGGCCAAGGCCAGGCAACGCAGGGTGTCACGACCTGTACCCCAATCTCTGATGACAGCCAAGACTTTCTCCTTGACGGCATTGGTCAGAGGCACGCGGGAGGTGCCAACACGCACATATGAGCACCTGTCAATCACACCCTCAGGGGCACCCTATGGAGAAAACCGTTTTTCTGTTATGTCATGTGCGGGACAGTCGATGTGCAGGTGCCTGACAAAAAGCTCTGAGAGAGGAAGAGGGAACAGACCTTCACAAACATCTTGGCACCACCTTCACCCTTAGTGGGGGTGCAGTACACAGACATGGACTTCCTGTCACGGGAGAACTCCAGAGTGAATTTCTTCCTCATGAGCTGCTTGATTACCTGGTAGAGGATAGAGAGAGACGAGAGCCCTTGGTAAATAGGTAGTCACCCCTCGGCTTGTAATTCTCTGGCAGACTGATCCAATTACAGCTACAGTGTGTACATTTTTGTTTCAAATATTTTTATTGTAGAAACATGCTCCAAAACTTGTTTTAATGTGAAGAGGGGCTGTCAAAGCCTCAGCTGACACAAACTCATTGAATAGCGATATTAGTTTCTAAAAGGTTTTGAGCAGGATTGACCTCTAACCAATCAGAGATTTTCTAAATTATTTCTGCTTGATCAGTAAGTTTTGTTGCACTCTCACATATTGTAATTTCATAATGACAAATATCTGAAGAGCTGAGCAGAGCACAGCAGATCATAGTAGAGCGTGGCGGAGAAGGGAGGGGGAGGGCGGGGTGGAACAGAGTACATTGAGTTGGAGTTTCATGCTAGTGTTACCTTAGGCTATATACTGTAGCTTTAACTTATAGGTTTCACTGGTTCACATTTAGCTGCAACAGCTATTAAAATGTGCAGTAAACTGGGAAGAGGAAACGTACAGAACAGCAGGCATTGGCTCTCTCAATTCTGGTCAGGTGCTTCACGTTGGTGTTGAACACATTCATCTTCTCGACCAGACAGCACAGGGCGGTTTCGGTAGCCTCACCAACCTTCTCATAGATCTTCTTGGACTGGAGAAACAAAGGGGTGAAGAAGAGAACTGGTTAAACTATAGAAGGTTGTGAGGATTGGTGGTTTGCAAACAGACTGTGCAACTCTATGATTCTACCTCATTGTAGTCAAGAGAGGAGTCGTTGCACAGGGAACAGATGGTAGCCAGCTCAACAAGGCCGTCATATATGCTGCAGTTGGTCTTGGCACCTCCCTGAGTGCTGATGGACAAAGAGAGAATTAGAAATAAATGAGAGATAGTTCATGTATGCTTTAGATGATTAACATTGGTAGCAGTGAATGGTGACATGTGGCACTTACACCTCGCCCTCAGGGGTATACTTGGAGCCAGAGATATCAAAGGCATCAAGCTCAACATGGTCACCTTCAACATCCTTGACGACAAACATCTGTGGAGGAAGAAACAAACTTGGTTTTTATTGAATCTGATGTAGGCTAGTTTTGAAAACATGCTGGTTACAGCGCAAATAATTTTTTCTTTTTTTACTAAATATTCATTACACACCTTAGTCACACACATCTGGTTGGTGGTGAGGGTGCCAGTCTTGTCAGAGCAGATGACAGAGGTGCAGCCCAGAGTCTCGACAGAGGGCAGGCTTCTGACAATGGCGTTCTTCTTGGCCATACGGCGAGTACCAAGGGCCAGGCAGGTGGTGATGACAGCGGGCAGACCTGAGAGACATTGTTAAAAACTCTGAGTGTAATTAACAAGCAGCATTCAGAGGCATGGTGGTCCTTCACTGTCTTAGACAATCTGTGTTTCCTCTCTCACCCTCAGGGATGGCAGCCACAGCCAGAGCAACAGCAATCTTGAAGTAATAGACAGCACCACGGATCCATGAGCCTCCATGGACGGGGTCGTTGAAGTGGCCAATGTTGATAGCCCAGACAGCAACGCAAATCAGGGAGATAACCTTGGACAACTGCTGGCCAAATTCGTCCAGCTTGGCCTGCAGAGGGGTCTTCTCCTGCTCGGTGGCAACCATCTGGTCACGAATCTTGCCGATCTCAGTGGAGACGCCGGTAGCCACAGCTACACCGATGGCCTTGCCAGCAGCAATGTTGGTACCCTACGGAAGAGAGAAGAGGAGGGAGGTTAGAAAACAGGTAAGGGCAGGGAAAAGAAGCAAAGCATAACAGGGAGGAGCTTAAACCAGTGGCAGCAGTGATGCTGGTAGGACACTCACAGAGAAAAGCATGTTCTTCTTGTCCTGGTTGACAGCTCTGGCGTCGGGAACAGGCTCAGTGTGCTTGATCACACTGACAGACTCACCTAAGAGAAAAAACTGAAAATTAACTCAAACCTGCCAATGGAGATGGGACAGAAAAGTGTCCACTGAGAGATCTTTTTTTTTTAAACCTACCAGTAAGGATGGACTGATCAACACGCAGGGTAGTGGATTTGATGGAAACAATCCTGATGTCAGCTGGGACTTTGTCACCAACTGTGGGAATCATAGAAGATACACAATTAAAATTCATTCCTGTTATTTCTTCTAAACAATCACAGAATGCATACACATATATTACCGATGTTAACAATGAATTAAATACAGCCATGATGACTGTGTGTAGAGAAAGCTTTAACTATTTTGTAGACAGGATACTGTATTTCTCTTATCCACTCTTATAGTAAGTGACTGTAATATTTGCAAATGGCACAGTTCTTATCATTCATGTGTGAAAGCTTTAACCAAAACATAATACTAAAGGTATTATTCCCAAAATAAGAGCCAAAAGTTCAGACAATTCACTAAATTTTTATAGCTAATCCATAGATTCCATAATGGGCCATAAGTTAAAGCAGCACATGCGTGGTCCAGTGAGAATGAACCACATGCAACGGGAGTTGGGGACAGCCAGCCAAAGGCAAGAGGTGTACACTGACAAATGAACAGAAGCAGGCGATAGCAGGATGGGGGGAGGAGGTGTGGCAGGTGCTAGTGAGGGTATTTATATTCGTGATTTTGTTTTCCTTCAGTCAGCATGTTTTCACAGCAGCGCTACTCCATCCTGCCTCACTCACGTTGCCTTAAAAAGAAACAAGGCTTTGCCATCAGTCTTTACCAGACATGTACTGTATATCCCGAATTTGTGTCTGTCTTTCTTTCCTTCGACAACATAACACAGAGTGACTAACAGGGATATTATTCCCCTGAGATTAACATTTACAGTTTGGGTCCTGCTTTTGTGAAATGATTAACAAACAGAGAAAACCAATGAACAATCTTGACAGTTCTTACCAGACACCTCCACAATGTCTCCAGGGACAATTACTCTGGCCTTGATCCTATGC